GACAGAAACTTCTTGGCTGCCAGTAAAAGATGGCAGGGAATTGATAACGATGAAGACGATGATTATGATCTTGTGAGAAATGACGACCAGGATGTCAATGATGATTATAAGGTTGATGATATTCCTTGTGATTACCAGCCGGTACGTATGGTTATGGCTCCTAAGCTGGGTAACAAAGAGTTCACAAAGCCAGATGACTATCGTGGTGATATTAATAGTGAAGATGATTTTCTGAAATGTGGACTATCAAAGTTGAAAGGTATGAAAATCAGAGCAGGTTACACAGCTGTAGATGTACTGGACTGCAGTCAAGATAATAACGACACTGATGACGACAGTGAAGACTACGATCATGAAAGAAGAGTCGTTAACGTCAGTAAACTACCGTCACCTGATATACCACCATGCAGGACAACAGCTGTAAAACCCATTACACGTCTTGAATGCGTAGTTGTGATTGATTCAAGTGATGAAGACGTTGTTTCTGGAAAAGAGCGCAAAGTCCTAAAAAAGAACGTGAGAGCGTCCAAAACAAAGCAGTTTCTGCTAAATGACTCGGAGCTCGAGCAGCTCTTTGGCTCAAGCGATCTTTGGTCCAGTGATGATGACGAAGAGGGAAATGCAAAACGAGATGTCGAAAATTTTGCCCTTACCAGAAAAGTATCTGGCATAAACAAGACTGCTTCATCGAGCGCAAAACTCAATTATAACCACGCCTTAGGAAAGCCAAGTGCCTCGCTCTGTAAGAAATCAACAGAGTTGGATTCATGCCCAAGTTTGTCCCTTCAGACTAAATTAGAAGATTGCCAAGATTCTTTGCTTGTTGAAAATGGCAGTCAAACTGTGAGTAACAAAGATTTGCAGTCAAATAGTTTACGGAATGGGCCTTATGTAAAAACAGTTTCAAGCAGTGATAATGTCTATGCAGCAAGAGCTGAAAGAGTCAAGGAGAAATTTGCGGAAAGCATCAGCAAACGAGTCCTTTTGCCAACGAATACAAACCAAAGCATTTCAGGTAGCCCAACAACGAACGTTCTCAGTAATGGGTTTCTGGCAATCCCACAGTGTGACATACTGGACGACAGTAACACTCATGTGAGCTCTAAAGATGGGGCACAAAAAGGAAACGCTAGTTCTCCGGCAGAAAAAGAGAACGTTGATTCTCCATCTGATGATTCTGTACCTGCTCCACTGTTCAGAAGACTCCGCCAGAATTTCACTGCCAAACACAGGTTGGCAAGTCTGCGCTCTATTTCTTCTGCTACAGATGAATAATGAAAACAGATATGATATTAAAAGCCAAGAAACTTCGGGATGTTGATCTAAAGTGTATCTTGTTGTAGAAGTTCACTATTGATTAAAAGGGTTCGTTGATTCCATTGAGATTTGCAATAATTTTATCTGAATATAGCAAAAGAAACAATGTAAATACATGAAATAAGAACCAAATGCTGCTATTATGAATACCATGAAGTATAACTATGATTTAGTTTGTCACAATTTAAGAGAAGTTTTCTTACAGCCTGGTTTAAAGTGAAGTATCAGCGTTTCCTGTCTTTGGGCGATACCACCCCCTTCCTTATCATTGTAAGGCAAAAACGTGTTAAACAATCTCCCTAGGCGGAAGCGTTTTTCATGTGCAGTTCAGACCCGGTTGTTTAAACGTTGGATAACGCTATCCAACGTTTGAACAACCCGGGCCTCAGAAAATAAGGGAATGTTACATGGGACGATTCGCATAAGATTTTTAGCGCAACTTATCTTCTCCGCCAGCCTGAATTTAAGCCGTCTCCTTGAGCCCCAAACTGTCGTCTCTCTCGGGATTTTGCGACTCGAGGAAGACAATAGAAAATTCAGGCTACGATTCAGCATTGTTTCGACATTGCTTCGAACTGTGACAACATTGTTCCAACATTGCTGCTCTAAAAGTGGACGTCTCAAATTGTCCCGTGTAAAATCTTCTTTGATAGCGAGGGCTGTGCATAGTAAATAAATAAATGCGTAGAAAATACATAAATGAATAATTTAATAATCAATAAATGTGAATGCAAGCTAAGATTTTTTCTGATATTTAGTCCTGTAAATCGCCAGGGTTTGCGGACCCGCAACAGCAACCTAGTCCGTTTTCTTTTGCTGGAGAAAACAGTGTATGAAAGTATTGCATATGAAGTAATATGTCACCTTTTTAAATTACCTCGGTAGTCGCTTTCAGTAGTAGGGATGGATACAGTAGAAAAACAACTGCAACGCTCCACGCAAAGTTCTTCCAATTAGAGTAGTATATGTGGAGCGAAATTTTATCCGATTAAACTCCTCTTACACTCAGTGGTGGTCGGTTTAGTTTATTTACGTAACTCATACTTAATTTCACTCGTGCTTAGAGCGGTTTTCACTTGACTGTCGAAAGGGATTGGTTTTGGTTTTGGTTTTGGTTTTACTACGCCCTTTGGTTGGCTAGTGTATTTACTTTGGTTTTGGTTTTACGACAGTCAAGTGAAAACCGCTCTATATCGCGGTTTTGGCGAGACAGTATTATACTTTTCTTTATTTTCATGAGTCTGTTAGGGGAATTAGAAAAAGAGGGCGTTAAATTTCGCGAAAGCGTTGTCAACAGAATTTTAATTTCTACAAAACTTTTAAGCTTTCGTACAAACTAAAACAGATGACCATGATAGATTCTCTACTCGATATGTTTCAATGTAAAATCGTAGAAAAGTAAAAGGAAACTTAATCTCAAGACAAGTTGCCAAATAGAGCTTATACCATTGAATAAAATATGTCGGTGCATATGCTTAAAGCCCGTCCGGGTACTGATAGTCTCTCTTCCCCTGTTTATAGCCTCTCTTGTCTTGAAACCCCTTACGAAGCCTCGCCCATATATGTGGAATTCCCGGTATCAACTTGTCAAACAAAGCACTGTTAAGGAAAATCATACATTCGAACTTCCATGTGCGACCACCGTTTGTAGGCGACCTTGTAGCAGTCAAGTCTGTGTAATACGACGCTGCTCAAACCTGATAAAGTCTATATTTCTTTTTAGTTTACTACAATGTTTGCATGACTGATGTTTGCTGTCAGTACTACGCAACTCAGACACCGAGTTTTGGTCCAGGTGCTTGCCGAGTGTTTTCTGCATGCTTACAGCTTTTATTATGTTGTTTAGTAGGGTGGCTCGACTTGATTTTTTAGGGAGTATACGCCCCCACTTTGAGCGTTAACCACGTCGGCATTAACAAAGATATCGGAAAAATGTTACCACAGCTGCACTGTATAAAGACGAAAATTTCTAATGATCCATGTTTTATTGACATCAGAGTTACCATGGCAACATCATGACGCCATAACGTTTTTTACTAGCCTTTGTATTTCTCGGTACTAGGAGTTTTGTTTTTCAGAAATCGCATAAGGGAGCTTGTACCTCCTTTAGTTGCCTCGGTTGTGGCAAGGTTTGAACAAATTCTATGAGAGCGTTTTGGAAATATTTTGAAACAGAGTTTCAAGGGTTATAAAAACAGTAAACAAGCATGCTATCGATCGACACAATTAGCTAATATCTAAAGGGAATGATGAGGTCTGGAAATGCAGTCTCATCTCATAGTGGGTTGATTTCATCTGAAACTTTGTACGGAAAAAGAGGGGTATTGCTTCGGCCGAATGCGAGAATGAATTGATTGGCCTACGTTCGGCAGCCTGTTTATTGATTTATTTTACATTGGTATGCCTGTGGTGCGGACGAACGGGTGGACTTACGGTCACGTGATCACCAAAATTTCTCGGATGGGTGGATTACCACATTTTCCTAGGTATGGGGCTACGCTCGAGCGCGGTTGGCCCTCGCGTGGAGCTCCGCTAAGAATGTCTTTGCTGAATCTTTCTGTCGTTATCCTTTTTTGCAGAACATGGGCAGGGTTTTCGGTAGTATTAGGAAGTACCGGATGCAGAGTCCGTGCCGGAGGCGCGTACTTCGGGGGAGATCCGGCGGTATGTTCCCACTGGAAATTTTTAAAATTGGACTCTCTTAAACACAATTTCCTGCGTTCCGTGGACCGGAATTGGTTAAGCGGAAAGGTCTTTAAGGAATTAAAAAATACTCTCAGAAATGAAATATCTGATTTGACAATCATGATTATCGGTTTACAGTTGTTCGTTCTTTTAGTTGATTCCAAAACGAATTCCAACCGGAAAGAGTGAACGAATCCCGATGACAGATGGTTTATAGATAGTAATTTTAATGTCCAGTTCAGTTGTTGCATGATTGACTCATCAGAAATAGTCAGTTAACTAAAGCTCTATCAGTGAATATCTTTTTTTTCAAAAAAAAAAAAAAATTATTTCGTGTGTGAACTACCAGACGTTACCTGGTGTGAAACAACCGGACATTGCGTCCGGCTTGAAACGAAACCCATGCATGTGACTTTCTACCCTTAAAAGGACGCAGCTCTTCTAAGACATTTGTCTTTAGTGTTGTTAAACGGGAACAAAATAATTTCGTCCAGTTTTTGAACAAGGGTTCCATGGTTGAAAGCCACTTTAACAATTTCAGTTTTTCAAGTACGAAAATTAAGAAAGTTGTCCATGCGACTCTAGGGTTGTAATTAGTTTATTCTCAAAACTAAGGGGGAATATTGCGCATTTCGGTCAAACACATTATAAACCTTTATGCGTTTGGTTCGGCTTATGTGACGTTTGGCGTCTGAACCGGGCCTTACATTTTTATTTTAATATTCGGCCTCAAAACGTTTTACATTGACCAGATCTTTTCATGACGTTTTCAGGGGTACACCTTCCTTCTTCTGATAGAAGGAAAACTGTGTTCAGCCACCGTAAGTACCTAGTACATAATAATACCCACCCTCTTGGGGCAACATTCTTTATAGCGCCTGTTAGTGTCCAAAATCAGTTGGGGATCAGCTGCATTGAACACAATATCACATAAAACATAAATGTCAAATAGAACTTTATTATAACAATTTCTATACATTAATATAATTATATTATTTTTATAAAAACTCAAATGGCAATTCTGAAGAAGCGAGTTCATCATTAGCTGAACACTGGTATTTGAGTCTATACTTCATGTAGATAACATTGGATCTATGCCACCAGTAATAAGCTAACACAATAAATAAGTGCCACCATTGATGGCTAGAGCCCACAAAATTTACTTTACCTGAAAAAATAACAATAAAAAACAAAATCAACAAGAATGACAATTACAAGGTAAAATTCTTAGGGAGATAAATTCATTACCTTTGCTACTACTACAGAGTATTTTGAGATGGGAAATACAAATAAAAACAAACCAAAACACAAACAAAGCAATGTTTGTTTGTATTAGTCTGCCTTGAACCTCACCTCACAAAGCCAATTTTGAGAAGAATCATGACATCACTTAATCAGTCTTATCTGATTTACTTCTAGTAAGGGAGATTTCTTGCCCAACAATTAATTAATATTAAGAATCACTGATCAGAAATAAGTGATGATTCTGGATTAACCTATCACATTTATAATCATCAGACTCCACTGGTTTATGTCATGATTGTAGAATACCAGACAAAACATCAGTCAAGTACTTCTCAAACTGATCCTTAACAATTCATGTCTTAACAAAGGAAATCACTACTGTGTCGGTGGTTTGGTTACTGGATTATAATAACCAAAAAATTAAATGTGAACTTTTGCTTTGAAATTCTTTAAGAATTACTGATCATAAACACTTGATACAGATGGCTGCTCAGTGTTTCACCTGTTCCTAAATCTAGACACCTTGAAGCTGCTCTCAAACAACCATCTGTGCTTTGGCCATTTTGAACACCCACTTTGATTATTTGACTGCCTTTCAACCTTCATGCTAGCTCCTATAATATTATATTACATCTGAAAATTATGCTATAAAATGCATTGGTTTTTATAGCATAATAGTTTGTACCTATAAATCGGTTCATACATTACCCTGTGAGCAACCATTTGCTTATTTGATTGAGCAGCCGTCCAACACCATGGACAAATAAATTAACTTTGAACGGGTAAAACCTGTATAGAAGCAAGTTAAGACTCTGGCACATTTGCTTACTCTTACAACTGCCACCTTAACATGAGCCTGCAGTGAATTTTTCTTTATCATGACTACTCCTACCCACTTACTTTTTTAATATTCAAAATAATGTAGGTGAACCCAACTAGAGTTGAATTCCCAGGGACCATAATATCCAATTTCAGAAAGAGAAATAAAATTTCATTGTAGCGCTTTTATGTTCTTCATTAAATGCAAAATTAGGCATTTTCACCTTACAGTCACATAAAAATGGCAAAGAAATGTACAAAAAAGTGTGAAAGCACTACTCTTGAACCTATTGTTTTTTGACATTCTTGTTGCCATCGCATTGTTTGATCCTAAGTCCCTAAATGTTTACTGCGAATCAAGAGAAAGTGATGTTATTTGACGTTTTAATGTAAGCGTCGTGTGGACGTGCATGCCTGATAGAAAAACAAACAGTTGCTCACAGTGGTTTCTCTCCCTTCTTAGAGTAACGTCCAGTCTCCAGAAACTTATGCTCGCAGGGTATTTATACATTGACCATATAATTTATCACATGTACCTGGGAAGTATCGTTCAGGAATTTTGAAAGCATAAAATCCTAGGGCAAGTACTCCTAGCAAATACATCACAACCACCTTTGGAAGAAAGAGCTAAAAGACGGAAAAATATGATAACATTTAGCTAGGTCTATATTATGAGGAAAGTAAGATGCAACTGATAGGGGGGGTTAACATTCAAAAATTTCATTGGCACATCATGTTTGAAAACCTTTTAATACCAAAGTCAATTTGTACAATAAAATTACATTTAAAGTTTTGAATGCTTGGATACAGTATGATTAATTTTGGTTTCATATTCATTATGAACAGTACTTCAACAGTACTTCCATCAAGCTTCTTCTCACATGCACGCATAAACTTCTGCACCAGGGTTACAGGGTTGGAAACTAAAATTTTGGAGCAATCGCTATCTGGGCGAGTGACATTCAAATTGCACTCCCCGAAACCAGTTTTCACTTGCCCAGTCTCCTCCATAACAAAATAGCCCCCTCCTCACTACATAGAAGTTCACTCACTGTGCCCTAAAACAAGACCATTTTTTTGGGGGGAGGGGGGTCTCAACGCCTTTTGTTTTAAGTCTTTAACTCTAAACAAGGGTCTCAGTGTCTTGGTGAGCTTGAATTGTGCAACCAATTGCCAGCTCTTGCAATGAATAGTTAACCATTTTTCAATAATTACATTTACTATATAATGTTTTACTGTAACGAGGGCTTACGTATCACATACTCTGACAGTTAAGTTATTCCATCCCCCAAGAAGTAGAGCCCAGTGAAGTGATGGCCCAATGCCATATGCAACCAAGCCACAGAACAGCAGCAGTCGCCTTGAAGCCCAGCGTGATGTCAGAAATGAAGGATGAAATTGGAAAGCTAGTGAAATAACAGTTAGGAGAACTACACCAATCAGGTAAAGGCCTTGCCAGGTCTAGAAACAAAAAATATCAATTAATAAATAAGTAAAGTTTTCTATTATTACTTACAGATATGGCTGTACATGACGTTCTGAACTGATAAACTCAACAGTGATTGTTGATGTTTCCGTAGCGAATGTGATACGTGACAACCCTATTCTCAGAGTTCTCTTTCTAAACAACTGAACTCAAACTTGTTAATACTGAAGGATGAATGCTCCACTCAAGGAAGGCTTCACAGCAAAACCAATTGCTCCTTGCCATCATTGAGAGTAAAGAAACGAATTAGAAGGACCTACTCCAATTCTACCCTTCATGTCTGTCTGCATAAATTACCTTATATTATTAAAGTAACAGGTACATTTTGCAGCTGTGCACTTTTGAGTGGGTACAGACCCACTTGTACAGTTGGCAAAGCCCTTTAGGAGCTGGAAATAGCTTTGCATAAAGTCCCACATGGATTAATAACTCTTGGTACATGCTGAGCCATTACCATTCATAAAATTCTAAGTCATAAAGTGATAAGTGTCTCTGTTACAGATCAAAATAAAATTCAGGTTAACTTTTTTATACCTAGATTGATTCTGAATTTCCCTTGTCTTGTAGACCTAATTCATGAATAATTAGGACTTGGCAAAGAAAGAAAATTGAAATCCAACCTAGCTTGATCGATCATTAAGAAATTTTAACCTGAATTTGAATTTGACCTGTACTATCATTCTAGATACCTACCACATGACAATAGAAAGCATAATAGACAGCGGGTATGTAGCAAGCACACAGCCCAAGAGAAATACCAGCCAAATCAAGTGACAGCCACAGGTGAAAAACCTTTTCCGAGTGACAACAAAATAAGTGATAACAGGCTGAGAAGAACATAGAAATCTAAAAAAGAAAAGCAACAGGTAATTAAGGATATGCTTGAATAGAATGAATATTATTTATTCAGACCACACCTATTCTTTTTTCTGTGACTGGGGGAGGGGAGGGAGTATTATTACTTCCCTACTTCAGAATATTGAAGCTACAGAAACGAAATTTACTGGGTTTGTAGTATAACAAAAAATCTTTTTTTTCTCCTTATGATTCAGTGATGTCACATGGTACTTGTAGTTGGTTAACCTTTCACAGCAGTTTTAGCCATAAGCTGAGAAAACAGCTAACATTTTGCAACACCACCAACAGTTTCCCTGTAAAATGATGTCTAAGGAATGAGCACAGAAATTCCATACTGATGACTTGTCACTGGGAAATGACACTTCACCAGTGATGGAATTTCTGTGCATCATCCTCAGACATCATTTTCCAGGGAAACCATAATTATTGGTGGTGTCGTGAAAATGTTGGCTTTTTTCTCAGGTTATTTTAGAGAGTACATGAAATTTATCTTACCATGAAACCAATGAGTAATAAGGTCAGCACAACATGATCAGAGAAGGTGCCATTGTTTTCTGGAATTCTAACCAAGTTGTCAGCAACAAGAAGATATAAGAAGAAGAAAAATCCAACTAAATGGGACCAGATGTTGACAGATTCATTGGACAACACAAACAAACTGAAAGAAATACAAAAACAAATTTTTCAAAAGTACTGTTATCACTAAGACTCTTGCTAGTTTTGTTGTCTACAATAGTTACATATATTAAAAATTTACACATGTGCTGGGAATCTGAACTGTGATGTAATGTTAATTAGTCTAGGATAGAGATGGTATTATTTTCCGGCATTTGGTCTGCAAATTTCAGCTGAAAATAAAGTGGTATTTGACCAAGTGTGGCCCTATTCAACCTTACCTTTTAAAACATAACCTGATGGATAAGAAGGCTCTGTATCCAGATGTTACGTAAGGATTGCCTCGAAGGAAATATGGTATGTCGTGGTAATTGTACAGTCTCACAGTCTTCGATTCAATATGTGATTTCAAAAATGAACTTGCATCGATTGTAAAACCTCTCTCGCCCAAGTCCATCGCAATACTTCACAAATCATGCATGTTGTGTCACACTAGTAGCGCCAAAGGTCAATCGAACATCTTCCGCTACGGGAATTTCATTAAATTGTAAGATTAAAATGATTTTAGCGCCATAAAAAGAATATTTCCTCAACCAAAACTGCAGAAAAAAGCTATTTACAGTACTTTGTTGTCAGGCGTACTTTCCCATTTTCCCGTCATTGTTTTCGAACCTATTTTTGCCAAATTTGGTCATGATATCCAAATTTAGATGAGAAACTGAGCGGAAATAGAACGATTTGCTCGTTCTGTTTGGAAATCACATCGGAAGCGGACGCTTATTTGAAATACGCTGGTTGTAAGAGTTAGGAAAGTTCGCGAAGTTTAGCTCGTTGTTCACACCGTCGAAAATGACCACGGTTAGAGAGGGATACCTGAGGGACTTGCCTCATCCAAATCTAAACGACGTTCTCAAATCCAACACACACAGCGCTATTAAACTTCTAAAAACAGGTAGGTTTCTGCACTTTATAAGCTGTAAAAAGTGGACAGTGAACTCTAGTTAGCGTGTAAATTTTAGCTTGTAATAAGTTTACTTGATCTGAAGCTTTTTGCAACTGTGGTGTTTGGGTATGTTGTTTACTTCTTTGCTCAAGCAAGACTGTAGATTAGATTTTGAAATAAATAAAGGCAACCAAAAGAAAAGAATTTAATAAATAATGATATTTAGGTTTGTGGATTTTCACGTAAAATATTCAGGTAGTATGGATGTGAAGTGAAAACAGTTTCTATTCTATAGTTGGGCTTAGGTTTTTTATAGCAAATGACACTTTTATCGACACATGAAATAAATAGCATGTACTTGTATTTAACGGGTGCAGTATAAATTACTATTTATGGTTAATAAATTGAAGCATACGATATACGTGATTTTTAATGACAGGACATTTCAATCTGATATTGACCTTTTAGCTTGCACCTATATTAAGCCTGTATCCCTTAGTATTTCCACCAAATACCTCTGTTAATATCGCGTAGGATGCATGTTAATAAAGACAGGTGTAGTAAAGAAATCTCAAATAAATTAAAAAATCTCAAATTAAGAAATCTCAAATAAATTAAAGAAATCTCAAATATTGTTTAATATTTATACATCGATGATTTATAATTTTGTATTACTAATTTTAGATAAATGAGGTTAATATTGTCTAGTCCTTGGCTGACAAGCCAGTCTTTGACAAACTCGTGATCCTCTCCCATAACATGTATATAATTATATACAATGTATCCTCCATGTCTATGAACCATGAGTAGGCCAGAGGCTTGTGATAGCTCTGAGATAGGCAAACACCTATCCCCACTACTAACGTGTCATGCAGGGGAATGGACACAGTTGGATTTGAAGGACTCACTGGGCGAAGTATAAAAGTTTAGTTATTGGTAACAGTATATGGCTGCCATATACGTACAATGTATGTAGTAATAAACAAGAACTGTGTTAAAAGAGGAACAATATTGTAATTCTGCTCTGTAAAAAAATAAGAGTGTAAAAACACAAACTGGACCCGGAAATGGGTTGAATTGCAAAAACCACCAGAGTACATGTATAACAGACCTTCTGAAGACTGTAGATTAAGGATTAGAGAGACATGGGTTTCCCCCGTTCATTGGCCTGACGGCTACATGTACACTGTACCGACGAGCCCCAATAAGGGCGAAACAGCTGTGCACATGTGTGAGGTACTGGCCAGGCCGTAGGTTGGTGTACGTGTGCCCCTTTTGCCCCCTGCTCTAAATTTGGACTGTTGCAATCAGTTGAAGTTCAAACTATTTCACATAAATCACTGTAATTCAAGACATTTCTAAACAAATTGAACAGCATGCGCATATTGGTAAAATCTTTGCTCGTTGGCACTTATTATTAGTGATAGCTATAACTACCTAGTTCAAGTAATTAATTTGTATGGTGGCTTCTGTGTCTGTTCTAGTTGGTGAATTTGCTCACAAAGTTGCAACTCTGAAAGAGCAGTTAGGAAATCAGCTTCTCTCTGTCGTAGAGTCATTCAGAAAGAAGAATACGGAGATGAAGAGAGACAGGTAAACACAAACAAAAGATACAAGACAGTGGTATGGTATGATCCTGGTAACCTTTTACTGGTTCAATCAGTTGCCATAATATCTGCCATTTAAACGTTGGATTAACAATGGGACTATTGCTAATTATAAATTACATGGAAGATAGATGCCTGAAACATCACAAGTCTAGTATGCACATTTGGTAGGCCAACTCCCAGGTAGAGGCTGCTCCAGTGTCTGGCAACTTCTGGTAATCCAGATAAGAGTTCCCATACAGCAGCAAGCATCATGCTGATAATAAAGTAGAAAAGAGATTAGGAAGAGAGAGAAGTGAAAAGCTTTTACCAAAGTGCTTTAGAATTGGTATACATGCTCAGTTTTCCTGCTAAATTGGAATGCTAGCACCTGCCCATTCCTTTTTATAGGCACTGTTCACCATAAAGGCAGACATGTTCTGTTGTTAACTCCTTAAAATTGCATTACCTTCACTGTTTACATGAAGCAATAATATTGGATTGGAGTGAGTATGATATGAAAAAGGAGATGGAGAAGGCCGGATGTTTACTCGGGCAGTTTTTGTTCATAGCAGTTGTCATTTATTGAGTGGTTGTTAAGTCTGTTCTTGCTATGTTTCTGAGACAATAGTGTGCATTTATATATATTAATTTTATTGATTGATTTGATTGATTATTTGTGAAATCTTCCACCATTTTCTCCAGCTCTGATTACCAAACAGCTAAGCCATCCCTCTTTCCATCAATATTAATACAATTGCATCAACATTATCCTTGTATTAATATCAGCAGATATAGATCTTCCAAATTAAGTCATCAATAGCTGGGTATGAAGAATTAGCTGGGGGTTTTCAACCATTCAGAAAATAAAATGGAGAAATATACATGTACTTTCAATGAAAAACATTATTTAAAATTATGAAATAATATTTTTAGCATCTGGTTATAAAAACATTTATAATGGTGTGCCAAATGCACTTTTCTGTTGTATGTCCTGTTGACTATTTCTCAAGAGAATCTCCATATGTATATTTTTTGCAGAAATGCTTTAAGCAGTGCTTTTAGTTGCTGGGAAGCACTTCTCGGGGAGTATGAAAAACAGGCTCAGGTACTTGTAGACTGTACAAAGATGCTTTTTTTTTATTTGTTATGTGTTAAGGTTAAAATGTGTGGTAACTTTATACAGTGATGTGTAAGTACCAGAAGGAATGTTTGATAAAGATATTGAAAAGTGCATTTTGTAACTTTCAAGAGCTGCCATTTGGTTTCTGAAAAACATTTTCCCATTTATGATCTTGGCTGAAACCAGCAATATTTTTACTCTTGTTTGTATGCGCCAAAACCTTTTCCAAACATGTGTACATTAATCGATATCTCTTAAAGCAAATGAAACTTGTTTAAATTTTTGTTCTAAAAGATGGCATTTGAGGTCCCTCAGAGTACGTGAGTGACAATACAATGTCGTACTCGAACCAAACAATTTTCCGTTTTTTATCAAGGACCTAAATTTTACAACACCTTAAACACCAACATCATCAACGCTTCCTCACCTTTCTTCTTTAAAAGAGCACTTAAGGGATTTATTTGTAATAATTATTAGTATACTCCAACAAAAATCTTGGGAAAAAGCCTTTTAATATTCAACATTTGTAAACTTCCGTAATATTGATTAGTTTAATTTTTCACCTGATATTATATTGTATCCGTCGATTATTTGTAATAATTATTAGTATACTCCAACAAAAATCTTGGGAAAAAGCCTTTTAATATTCAACATTTGTAAACTTCCGTAATATTGATTAGTTTAATTTTTCACCTGATATTATATTGTATCCGTCGCCATAATTTTTATGCCATCTTCGAAAAATATTGTAATTGAGGAGGCCTAATTAACATAAGCTCTATAGTTTCTTTTAGGCCTCCTCGCCATCAGTCTTCCTACATTTTTTTTTTTTTTTGGGCATCTTTTTGTAATTATTGTAATCGTGTGGGAAATAAATAAAATACCTAAACACCTAATCTGCTTTTATACCACACAAGTGAACAGTGCTTTTCTTGCACACTGATTGGATAGCTTGGAGATGATTATTCAAGCACTATTCTCCTCTACTTTATTGAATTTTTGTGTATTATTAAAAACCTTCCCTTCTTTGTGTGTTTTATAAATTCAGGACATGTTAAAAGTATCATCCAGTCTTGCAAGACAGGTCAACACAGCAGTTTTTGAGGAGGTTATAAAAAAGAAATCAGTCACAAAAAAGGTAGAGAAAAACTTGCAAGTCTGTGTTTTCTGTACTATAGCTGTGATTACATGTTCATATGGCTGGTATGGTTTAACTAACTTGTCGGCAGTATTTATGTGAAGCATAGCAGAATGAGCATTGACTTTTTTGCTGTTTTGCAGATTTTTTCATTTAGAGAGAGTGGTGAAAATCAGATTGAGAAGGCTGATGATGTACTTCAAAAGGTTAAACAAATATTGGATGATTTTTAATTATAGGCTGGGATGGTGCAATTTACGGGTGATGTAGTAGTAGTTTTAAAACATGCTTGTGGCCGGCCCTCAAGTTAATAAATAAAGGACAGAAATAGCTATTCTTAAAATAATCATTTATACTAAAAATCACACTGAGCTGGAAGAGGGTACAATGTAAACTTTACTTCCTGGTTGTTTCGATTCAGGTCTGTCACTAATGGCCAGTGGCCAGGGATTACCCCTTGGCTACTGTGAGTCAGTGACTTGTGCATGGCTACTTTCATAGGAAATAAATGAAAATAGAACAAAAGAACTTCCTAGCTGTCCAATTTCCTATCTACTAACTGCATAAATCCTCTGTCGCACTATTATTTGTGGAACTGAGCGTTTGTAGCCGGGCTAACAAGACCCCAGCTACAGTAGTGTCCAGCGTGGGATTTCAGCCTGGACATCCTAAATAAATATGTGATGATTACATTTCCACCAATTAATTATTTCGTAATCCTGACAATA